TTTTGTCAACAGAACTATTCTGAGCTGGAGGGAGTGAGACGGAGAATAAAAAACCAAGCTAGAATCTGACCGAGGATTTAAACTGTTATTATTTTTTTTAAAAAAAAACTATAGCCGATGTTCTTCAAAATTTTCGATCCAGACCTTGGCACGACCATACCGCAGTCCACCCCCCAACTTGCTCATTTTGACGAAGGGCTCGGAGACACGATCGACGGCGACCCAGCATCGATCGATTTCGCCGCCACCGCCGCCTGGCGCGACACTGCAGTAACTGTGGGCGGCCGCCGGCGGCGCGAGCACATGAAAGCCGGCCCGTGCCGTGCGACGTGCGTTGCGGGCGTGATCCGCACGCGACGCGGGCCGTGACAGCGCCCAGTGGGCCCCCCTGGTCGGCGACCTTTTCTTCCTGGTCTGGCGCCGTGGGCGGGTGAAAGCTGATCTTGGGCTTTGGCTGACTTCTCGTCCAGTAGCCACTTTTTTGGGCCTAACGCGGCCTGAAGAACACTTTCAAACTGGACGGATTCAAAGGAGCACGAGCACGAGAACTCACGTTTGTGTATTTTTGTTGTTGGCAATAATGTGAAGGAATAAGTTCACTCTAGGTCCCTCTATTTGTCACCTAGTCCGATTTTCGTCACTTGGTCGCAAAACCGGTTACAACGCATCCCTCAACTTACAAAACCGTGCAAAAAAGGTCCCTCGACAGTATTGTGCCTGGTTTTGGATGACGTGGCGCCTACGTGGCTCCCTTTAACTAGGTTCTCGTCCCACGTGACATTGACGTGGCAATTGGATCCCGGGGAAATATAAAAAACCGTGGGACCCACATGTCAGCTACACAAAAATATTTTTAAAAAGGAGGGACCCACGTGGTCTCACATGTCAGCCTCCCTCTTCTCTCTATCCCCTCTCTCTCTCTCCCTACAAGGCGAGGAGAAGTGCGAGCGGCAGCGAGCGGTGGGCATAGCGATGGCGGGCGGCGGGCGGAGGGTAGACTAGAGGGGCGGCGGGTGGAAGCAGAGCGGCGACGGGCGGTGGGCTGAGCAACAACGGGCGGCGGGCGGCGTGGCGAGAGCGCTGCGAGGGAGGAGGCAAGCTCGTCGGGGCGGCTGGCGGGAGAGGAGGCAACGCGTGCCGTCCGACAGGAGGGAGGGAGAGGAGCAGCGGTGCGTGGGGGACGGCGGTCGACGGGAGGGCGGAAGAGTAGCGGCGGCTCGCCGGCCTCTCCGCGCTGGTCGGCATCCCCGTCTCCTCCCTTTGCAATCCAGTGTAGAGCTCGATGGCGGGGCGCCGTGGGTGCGGCTCAACGGTCACGGGCAGAGGAAGAGTTGCACCGGGCGGCGGCCAGCGACAGTCTCCGCCCCCTTGCCGGTGATGCGTCGCGTCGGCCAGCCGCGCCACGCACGCGCCTTCACCCCTCTGCTATGGTGTCATTCTCTCACCACTGTCGCGCTTTGCTTCGGCCGTCGCCGCTCTGACTGGTGCCAATCCTCCGCCACAGTCCCCAATCCACCACGATACCACCAGTCTGCTTCGGGACCGCTGTTGCCTCCGCCTTCGCCACCGGTAGGCGGCAACGGAAGCCCGGACGTCGAGGGCGTGGCGCTGGCCGACTTCTTCTTCGGCCCCAAGTTGGATGACTTGATGCAGTGGCTAGGAGATGGTGACGCCGGGCAGAAGGGCACGCTGCCAGCCTCCTCGTCATCGTCATCCTACGCGCAGCGGGGCGGGGCGGAGCGGGCGGGCGGACGGCGGCCCTAGAAGAACGGAACGGAGCGGGGCACCGGTGGGCGGAAAGGGGAGATGGGAAGAGGGGAGAAAGAAGAGGTAGCGGTGAGAATGACATGTGGGGCCCACGTGGGCCCCACCATTTTTATTAATTTGTGTGTGAAACTAACATGTGGGTCCCACATGATTTAATATTTTTCCGGGATCCAATTGACACATAAGCGTCACGTCAATGCCACGTGGGATGATGACCTAGTCAAAGGAGCCATGTAGGCGCCACGTCGGTCAAAACCGCCCTCCATACTACCGAGGGACCTTGTTTGTCTGGTTTTCGTAAATTGGGGGATTGGTAGTATCTGGTTTTGCGATCAAGGGACGAAAATTGGATTGGGCGACAAATAGAGGAAACTAAAGTGAACTTATTCCTAATGTGAAATGTCTGACTGTTTTCTGAATCACAGCTCGAATAAAGGTGTAAACGATGATGCGATTGCTGAATGTACACGGTTGTTTCTTTTCGTATTTTGGATGCTCATCCTGACGCCGTTCGTCTGTCTGTGTCCCCCTGCTTTCGCTCTGTTTTCTCTCCCTGACATCGTGTTATCTATCATACCATTTGGTGACAAAGCCCAATGTATGCTCAGTCCATCAATACTAAAGTTTCTAAAAAAAAAGAGGAAAGTGTGCGGTGGAAACTTCCATGCGTTAAATAGTAATCCCCGATAAAATCAATACAAATACAAAATATTAATTACTGAACTACTTAAGTACACCCTTCGCGTTAAAATATAAAAAGTTTTGGTTACATGAGATACATCAAAATATAAAAAATATTAATTGCTGAACTACGAATCTGGACATGATATATTCTATCCAACCAAAACATGTCAAGATTTGTATAGTACTAGATTGTGTCTCATCCAATCAAAACTCATTTTTCGGATGGAGGGAGTATATGGTTAACGGAATTACTAATCTCCCGTCGACAAAAAAATGCATTACCAAATTTTGCAGATTTTGGATCATTAGAGTGCTTCACGGTTCATGTTCCAAGTGCTTCTTCTCCAACTCCAACAACCGGCGACAACCCAAACTCCGACAGAGGGCTGGCAAATTAAGATCCCAGTGTGAGGAGGAGGAGGGGTAAGAAAAGGGAGTCGTCGGGCTTAGAGGAATGGTCATGGGAGTTGGCAGCCTGGCGGTGGGCGGCGGGACAGGTGGACAGTGCCAAAGCTATGGGGATGGAGGAGGGCGGTGAGCTGACGTTGGTGGCAGGAGCATCCTGCTGTCGACGGCTCGAGGAGAAATGAGAGAGGGGGGCGGGGGAGGGAAAGGAGGCCGGTGGGGAGAGGTGTCTCACTGGTGCTGATGACGTCTTCCGGCGAGAGGCCGAGCGGTGGCACGGTTGGGCGGTAGCGGCGATGTAGGAGGGGTTAGGTTCACTGCACGAATTTTAAAGTGATATAATGGTTCAAAATTCACAAGATTTTAAGAGATGTTTTTTTAGTATATACCGTCCCATTAATTAAAGGAAAAAGTACGAATTACCCCCCTGAACTATCGAGGTCGACCGAATTACACCCCCAAACTTGAAAACCAGACATTCTACACCCTCAACTATTGAAACTGGATAAATAACCCCCCTGACTCAATCCGGAGTGGTTTTGAGTCTACGTGGCAGTCCAGTCAGCAATTTTTTTTTAAAAAAATCAATGGGCCCCACCTGTCAGTTCCCCTCCCCTCTCTACCCCTCACTACTCTATCCCAATCTCTCCTCTCTCTCCTCACCAGCACGGTGGCGACCGCTCGAGGGCGGGATCAGGCGGCGCTGCCGGCGGCGGATGGCGGCGGGCGGCTGAGACGGAGGCAGAGCTCGCCCGCGCAGGTTGAGGCGGCGGAGGAGCGCGAGCGAGCCGAGCACGGACGGCAGTGCTTCCGCGGCGCCCTGGTCCGGTCGCTGCCCGGGCGGCTGCTCGACGCCGACGAGGAGGAGTAGGTGCTCCTGTCCCGGCGCAGGCCGTCCCGGGGCAGATACGGCCTCTGCCACTGTCCCTTGTTAATACTATTGGTTTAATTTCAGCAAGCAGCGCCCTGTCTCTCTGATGACAAGTTAATCAGCTTCTTGTTTAATTAGTTTAGTTTTCTCTTGAGATTCTTCCAGGTTTCTTGGGCTTTGAAACCAAAAAATGCAGTGACGATGCATATGCACACACACTGTGATTAGTTTAATTAAGCTTAGCTTCGATCTTGCTCTCTAGAACAAGTTGACAGTGCATGCATGTGATGCATCGATCTGCGCAGGTACTGGCGGACAGGTTATTCCCGGCGATGGCGACGCCGACGACGCGTGGCCCCGACGACGACGACGACGTGTGGACGCACGTCACGCCGGCCCACCGGCACGGGTCGTCGGCAGCGCCCCCGACGGGTCGTCGGTCACCGCCGTCTTGAACGCCAGCGCCACCACCGCCTCCACCCGCGCGCCTCGCGTCGTCGTGGGCGGCGGCGCGTCGCCGTCGACCCACGCCGCACCGCCTCCAAAGCCTACAGACAACAGATCGATCGGCCGTGGTGCGCCGGCACAATGCCGTCGCCTTTTCGGTACGATGATGACGAGTAGGAGAGTGGCGGCCTGGTCCGGGCATGGACGTCCGAGGAGAGGAAGTTGGCGTCGCCGTCCTACCCGCTGCGGCCGCGTCACCGGTCGATGAGGAGGAGGTCGGAGAGCGCCTTCCGCCTCCGCCTCCACCACCGGCTGCCCGGGCGAGCTCCGCCTCCCGCTGCCGGCCGCCCGCTCCGCCTCCGTCTCAGCCGCCCGCCGCCCTCCGCCCTCCGCCGCTGGCAGCGACGCCTGCTCCTGCTCTCGCGCGGTCGCCACCGTGCTGGTGAGGAGAGAGAGGAGAGATTGGGATAGAGTAGCGAGGGACAGAGAGGGGAGGGGAACTGACACAGGTGGGGCACACTAATTTTTTTTAAAAAAAAATTGCTGTCTGGAGGATCCAAAACCACTCCGGATTAAGTCGGGGGTTATTTATCCGATATTAATAATTGAGGGTGTAGAATGTCTGGTTTTTAAGTTCGGGGGTATAATTCGGTCGAGCTCGATAGTTAGGGGTAATTCGTACTTTTTTTTTTCCTTAATTAAATCAATAAACTGCGTTTGTGCTCACTTAATTTATCTCAACTTTTATGCGCGTGAAGACACAAGCAACAGCCATGCCCATGCACGCTCCTAACCACCCACCATTAACCAACCGTAAATTAGCTCCTAACCACGCTCCTAACCTCTCGTTCTCGACACCCTCCTCCCCTTATAAACTCCCCTCCTCTTCACCCTCTTCTCCTCCAACAACGACGCGCAGAAGAGATTGGCCACCCGCCTCTCGATTCGCTCCCCAATAATCCAGAGCTACCACTAATAATCCCCCTCCGTTCCAGCGCGCGCGGCGGCGGGAGCTCGTCGGAGAAGAAGAAGAAGACCAAACCAGGCCGGCCGGTCGTCGTCGTCGTCGTCGATCCCCTCCCGCCACCGCACCCGCCGGCTGTGATACTATGGAGATGAAGAAGATCGCCGTCGCCTTCGCCGTCCTCGCCATCGCCTTCGCCGCGTCCGCCACCGCCGTGCTCGCCTCGGAGTCCGAAGCCGGGGGCGCGGCGGCCGCCGCGGCGGAGCCCACCGCGCCTGCCCCGGGCGCCGGCGGCGAGGCCGCCGCCGCCGGTGGCGCCGCTGCCGGCGGCGCCGCGGCCGCCACCTCGGCAGCCGCCGTCGTGGCGGCCGCGCCGCCCCTCGCCGCCATCGTCGCCTGCTCCTTCCTCGCCTACTACCTCCATTGATCGATCGTAGCATGCAATGCAATGCATGGGCGACTACGACCTATAACGGGATGGAACAAGATGCAAGAGAGAGCATCGTTTTGACATTATTTTCCGTGCTAATTAATTAATCAGATTGTAAAACATGTATTTACGATGGATTGATGGACGTTTTGCTAGCTATATATATGTATTTCGTATCATCGTTTGATTAACCATCCGAAATGTATTAATCCATCCCGTTTTTAATATATGATGTATTTTATTTTTAAATATACTGTTTGACCATTCGTTTGTGTAAAAGTGTAAATATAAGTACCTTCAATGATAAATCAAGTTCCAACAAAATAAATAAATAAATAACATAGATAAATAAATTTTTATTCAATAAGATGAATGATCGAGCGTATATCAAAAAGTTACGGTGTTATATATTAAAAACCAAAGGGAGCATATCTAATATATTTGTTTTTTTAAGTGGAATCGGAATATATATTTCAACAGTTTAGCTTTCTGTCTGATGACTAGCTAGTAGCTAGCTATTTGAGGTAACAATCTCTCTTCAACAAAAAAAACTTGGCCTGAGTCAGTCAGGACAGCAGCCCAATTAGTACAGTTGTTGCTGGGCCTGAGTTGGTCAGGATGGCCCAACAAAATGCCTGGCAGCTACACTATTAGTTGTCTTCATTCTGTTTATAATTATCTTCATGCGTTTCCTCGTAAGGGCATTTACAAAGGTAGAGTTAAATATTAGCTCTATATTATCTAGAGACTAGCATTCTACAACAGTTAGAGACAATATAGTCTCTAATCATTAATGTATCAAAATACTTTTTCTTACTATTCTTTACTTTCTTTCATCACCATGCAACAAAATCTGCTCTAATAAATGCTAAGAGTCGACTCTGAGCTGTTGTCATGCATAACAACCATACTCATTTCTCTTTCTTCCATGTCATCAAATTTACTTGCATGGCAATAGAGAGAGACCACTAATAAAGACCGTTGTACATGCCCTAAAGATCCACCACCGTACCACCAGTGAGCGAAATGTTTTTTTTTTTGGTTTTCCGGTGGGTTTTGAAGGTAATTTGATGTTTGGTTCATCTTCATATTTTCTACAGCCGTATACGAGTAATATATATACATATATAATTGACTCATTTTGTTTTTTTACACGTTTTTGGTATTGACCATTTTTTGTAAAAAAAAGTATGACAATAAGTAATATTTATTGGCAAGCTAGGGTTCCTTTGGATGGAAGGATTTGTACGGATTCAAATCCTTAAAGAGTGCCCCCCCTCTCTCTCTCTCTAAACTGCATGTTTGGAATTTATATAGGACTGTAGTATGTAAATTGCTTTGGATTGCATCCTATGCCTCAACTCCATAAGAAATTTACACATGATCGCAAACCTTATTTTATATGTTTTTCTTTAAGAAGTCCGATGCATATTTCTCTTCTCTCTAGATTATATCAAAATGAGTTTTATTTTCCTATTAACCATTCAAACACATCATCTGTTAAATTCTTTTGACTTACAATCTTATAAGTTTCGGTAACACGTGACATTTCAATTTTACATTTTTTTTCTCCTATTCATGTATTTTTTTAAACCGTGTGCTTTAAAAAAGGTTTGGAATTAGGGCCCTTTTGAAACTCCATATTACAATAGTAGCATATTAGCAGCACACAAAACGGAGCGTCTCATTAGTGCATGATTAATTAGGTACTCAATTAACTATTATGAATTTGAAAATAGATTTATTTGATATGTTTTAAGACTTTTATATATAAATTTTTTGCGTAAAATACGGTGTTTAGCAGTTAAAAACTTGTTAACAAAAACCAAAGAAGTTTTTTTGAGGGGAATAAAACCAAAGAAGTTACTATAAGCTGGAGTTAAAGTTTAGAACTCAGACTTAGGTTCTGTTCGTATGTCAAGGTTCCCAACTCCCCCTACTCGTTTTCCACGCGCACGCTTTTCAAACTGCTAAAAAGTGTGTTTTTTGAAAAAAAAATTATATACGAAAGTTGCTTTAAAAAGTTATATTGATCCATTTTTTTAAAAAATTAGCAAATAATTAATTAATCACGCATTAATGGACTGCTCCGTTTTCCATGCCAGAGGAATGGGTTCCCAACCCAGGCAAACCAACATGTCAATTAGGACCATGCCAGGAAAGTGTCCCATCTAGGCTACATTAGTTGTCTGAACTTTCTGGTCCCTCACAGCGTTTAAATGCTTTGAATTTAAACATATGCTATATCTAGATTTATAACCAGAAGTTGGTTTTTTGAGACAAAAGAAGTATTTGTCTAACAAAACATGCATGTACTAATTTAAGCTATCGTGCATAATTTAGTTTACACACTGGTTGCTAGCTTAGGAAATTTTAAGTTTCATGCAGATCTCTCTTCTCCAGTATCATTTGCAAATGGACCCGACATTGACGTGCCAGCGATCGTAGAGGATATGCAAAAGCTATAGCTACCCTAGCTAGTACTATCTTCAAAGTAATCCATTAATATAAAGCTAGCGACCTTACATCCTCCGTCCTATAATACCTCAATCTCTAACTACAATTCTAGATATTGTTATGATTGTTTTTCTTTAAGCGGAGGGAGTAAGTTATTGCTCACCCTTCTCACTACGCTAGCGTACTGCCTAGTACGTGCATATGTTGAGGCAGGAGTAATTAATAATTTTGTTCCTTTTGCACCCTATCGATGACCATTTACCCCCTTCCTTTAAAAAATTACGGATGAATGTAGATAAATATTTGTCTAGATTTGTGCTTAAAAATTAGATTTTTTTTCTATCATAGAGTTACGTTGAGAGACACATCACCCCTTAGAAATTGGATTTTTTTTTCTATGATAGAGGTACGTTGAGAGACACATCACCAGTAGCATTTATACAGACTTTTACCAGTAATTAATTTATGTTATCATATTTATAAAGTAGAAAAAGAAAAACATAGAATACACACTCCTGACACAATCTAGACATAGGATTTTCATCATCCACAAATATTACGTATACACCCACCGGCAATATAAAAATAACTGTCAGTAAATAATATATATACTACTAGTAGTACTATACTTTCGTCTACCTTCGTCTCAAAATATAAGAATTTAGAATCGGATGAAACATGTTTTAATATTAAAATATGGACAATTCTCTATTTAGATTCGATCGATTCGTAGTATTAGCTAGAATATATCCTATCCGATTTTGCGTTCTTATATTTTATAACGGAGAGAGTATATGGAGTAATTCTCACTATTCAGTATGTACATGATGAATGTGTAAAAGGATTCTATTGACTGTTTGCATTGTTGTTCCATGGACCATCATCATGACATGTTGGCCTCTATACATGACTAGCCAGAAAAAAAGGCTGGCTGATTTATCTCATCATCTCCAGGCTATCCATAGCTCATTAACAGTAGTCGCCATTTTTTTTTTTACGTTTTGGACATTAGGTCTCCAACGAATATATCTGGTTATTTCCTTTTCTAGTTATATTTAAACATTTATTAAAAAACATATAAATGTGTTTTTCACAAAACTATCAATGCCATTATTTTCACAAATCAATCTTAATATCTAGTATTAATTAATGATTGATCACAACTTAAAAAAATCCTATTATTGTCGGTTCAAACATGACATTGCTGATGGTTTTTGAACTAGCTAGTAGTATGAAGGCAACAGTAATAGCCTTAGCCATCACTGTCGGTTTTTTTTTTTTACCGACATTGATGTTAATTTCAACCCCTAAAGAAAATTGTTATACTCCTGTACGATAGTTATTCCTAATGCAACAATGAATCACAAGCTTTGCATCCAAATCAGCAACAACAAAAACAGATCACAACTTCAACATCAAACAAATTGCATATACAAGTTCAACAACATCATACACATGTTGAACTCCATACACACGTATCAAAAGATTTGCACATCAAGCGGATCACACAACCACAAACAAATTTGCATCAATCAACAACTTCACTAGGCAGAACTATTGAAGCATCAAGCAGAACCTTGGAGATGATCTAGCTCTCCTAGGACGCTAAGACGAGCTTCTAGCAGATGTATAGCTTCTCCCAGAATCTCCAACTTCCTCAAATAGTGCATATTTTTATCCAGATTATGAGAATATGTAACTATAGCATCTAGAAAATTAACTATAATTAAGAAACTAGGAAAACCCAGCTTTTCTAGATTATTGAAAGTTGGCTACCAATTAGCTCCTTTTTAGAGTCTTAAGCTCTTTCAAAAAACACAATGTGGGTATGGCCATGCATGCAGCTTGCGCCCTCTGCATCTGCGCCTTCCAAGTGGACAGAAAGAGCTGCTGGTGGCTGCTGACTATCAACCTTGCCTCGAGCTCGTTGCACCTAAATCAGGCAGCCACAAACCCTCTAGTGCATCCTCATCATCGTAAATCTGCTAGGAGGAGAGGAAGAACTATATTTTGGGACGAAGAAAGATGCCTTTTAAAGGCTAATGACCCCCTGCATATTTGGCCAAACAATAAGCATATGTAGTTTGCATTGATACAACAACCATCACGTCAAGATAATTAAGATCGAAAAATGAAAAGGAGATGAAACTACTACCGGGATGCAATGAGACGGGCACTGTTTATTTGTACCTTGTATCATCGTCGATCACAAATATATACTCACTCCGTCTCATTTTAAGCGCAACCATGAGTTTCCGTGCCTAACTTTGATCATCCGTCTTATTTGAATTTTTTTATTAGTATTTTTGTTGTTATTAGATGATAAAACATGAATAGTACTTTTATGCAGAACTTATGTTTTTTAAATTTTTTTTACAAATCTTTCAAAATAAGACGGATGATTAAATTTGAATACGAAAACTCATGGCTGCGCTCAGAATAAGATGGGGGAGTAATGTATTATGTACCGCGTGCGAGATGGGTTGGCAGGCATAATATTAATAAGCAATCTATTGAACGGAGTATATAATTAATGCTCGTGCTACAGTATGATAGCTACATAGACGCCAATTGATCGAGTTCGTTGCTGGCAGACGCATGTGCATGATAGGAGTGTATATACGATGCATCGAGTAGATTTATACCGGATGAGTACTATACAATTGATGTTTAGAGTATTTATGGGTACGCGTACTTCTCATATTCTCTGTCCACCTAATATAGTACAACGAAAATTAATGTGTCTAGACACGGTTTTTAAGCATATATAGCCATAGTGAATTCATAATATTGGAAACAGATTAATG